TGTTCTTGACATTACTCATGAGAATAACTAACTACAACTCTTTTCTTACCTCCAACACAATCTGACTGGATACTTCACGCCCAGGAGTGCCATAAATAAAGGCTCTATCCGTTGGATCTTTTTGTTCAAAACGTAACCAGGGGGGAAGGTCTGGGGAACCTGATTTTGAAGCTATAAATCTAACTGGATCAGCTGAAAGACAAAAATGTAAGAATGTAGTAAAATTTGACAAAATAATAACATCTTCCATTCCTGAAAACCAACTGCCAGGGAAACATTGTGTGTTCCTTGTCTTAAGGCTCATAGAGCCACCCTTCAATCAAGTTTCAAAGTGGTTGATTGAGGTGTAATACTTTAATTTCTAGTATTTTTTAAAGACAACCTTGTCATGGGCTTCATCTGGTCACAGTTTAATCAAATTTATGAAAAATATCAGGAAAGTAAGGGTGGAGTTCACATGATATCTGTTTGGCTATACTTCATAGAAATGGTAAAATCCCATATTCAGGCTAAGCATATTCATCGTAACAAAAAACTCTGTACTGAGGGAGTGTCGCTGCATTTATTCAGAGGTTTTTTCTTCTAAAAAGTCTTGCAATGTATTTTTTTCTTTCAAAAGACAATAAACTCAGTTGTCTGGTATATTGCTTTGGTTAACAGCATATGCTACTAACAGTAAAATTAAAATACTTTCTTTAGAATGAAGTTACACTGCATTAAACTTACAAGGATCTGAGATGAAATCAGAGGCAAGGATTTCTTTCTGAAAAAATATTCCAAGTGTGGCATCTGTTGTGATATTGACTGCTCTACACAGATGCAAGCACATGAAAAGGAAACCTGTAAAATAAGATATTAACACAATATCATTAATGGGGAATAAAGATCACTGTTAGTGTCTGAAGGATTAAAACTTTTGTACGTGTAATATAAAACCATGTTGGTTCATTAATGGCTTTAGTTGAGTTTCACTTTGATTCCTATCTGCTTCTTGATGCAGTCACAACTATAAAAAAAGTAAATTATGCTCAATACTGATACTCTGGCTTAGATTTCCTGTCATTTGAGAAATCTTCAGTAGATTTTAGACAAAGGAGGGAAGTCTTCGTTAATTTAAATTTAATTAAATCAAAAGGAGATAAGATAGTGCTCTTTCCAATACAAGGCAGCAATATACAACTGCAGCTCGTCTGTACAGCAAATTGCAGTTCTGTAGTAAAAAAGATGTACAACAAAACGCCAGCTCTATTGTGAACAAAGACACAAAGAACGGGGTTGAGAGCTCAAATATTCTTACAACAACAGGCCTGTCCATTGATAATTATGCGAAAACTTAAAATAGAGAAAAGATAAAAAGGGAGTTAATCTTGTGTTAGTCGCCGTAAAATTATAAAGTTCAACGAAAGAAAAATACATTCTCTTTTCATCAAAGATTTTAAATTAGTTTAGACTGTACTGTAAGCCTACCAAGACAGCTAGCTTGTTTGAGATTCATCGTTTCCTAACCAGAACAGCGTCTTCGAGAATCTAGAAAGAATAAATAACGCCCTTCCTGTTAAAACAGTTGACTTAAACTTTAAAAGCAACAGAGCAAATCCAACTTAATTACTTCTTGCATTGTGAGCTACAACTGCTAAGCATAACTTACCTTCTCTTCGATCTGTGAAGCTTCTGTCGGCTCCAGAACGTTTCGATGACCACGAGAGTCGCCTAGAGTGCCAAATATAAACAAGGCGTTCCGTACTTCAAGCTTTTAAGGGTGAAAAATATCATACAGATGAATAACCTGCATATTTCAATTCCATTTCAAGCTGTTTTGGAATTTGTGGCAACTGGCGACGCTTTATGGGAATATCCGCTGACCAGATCAACAAATTCCCAGACGTCTTTGCGCCCGCCGTCGGCAATATCCCGGATGCTCGCTCTCTCTCTTCCCTCTTTCGTGGTGGCTGTGCAACATTCATTCCTAAAGAGAATTTGGTAGGGTTTATAAAACTCATCCACACAGCCATCAGACCTCAATCACACGTCAATCCATAACAAACATGCCTCCTAAGTTCGATCCAAACGAGATTAAAATTGGTAAGCTAATTTCTGTCATTACTGAACGGATAATTTCGACCTGAGTCAGTCGTGTTTACAAATTCTTACTATGTATTCTTCCAGTCTACTTACGAGCGACCGGCGGTGAAGTTGGCGCGACATCTGCTCTCGCCCCCAAGATCGGTCCTCTTGGTTTGGTGAGAAATTATTATTTTTTTTTTTATTGTCGTAATCAGTAATGATTGGCGAAAATAATAAAGCTAACTTTTAAATTTACTGTCTGTTTAAAAGTGCAGTAAAATTTATGAGAAACTACACGTGCAGAATTTTAGACTGGGAGTAAAATCTCAGTCAAGCACTTATAAATGCGGGCGTATTTCTATGATTTCTATTTCTCAATAATACCTAGTTTGGCTAGATTTTTAGAGCTTGATACACAACCAGGCCAATAATTTTTTCACTTACGCTTATAAAAATTTGTAAATCTAACATTACCCTCGGCTGTTGGTTTATATTCGTCAGCGTTACATCATGAACTTAAAGAGGGCATTCTTAAAATCCATTGTAAGAACAAACAAAAGGTACAAAACTTTACAGAGGCGCTGGCTCATTTATAGTCATGTTCATTATAAACATTTCAGTCTCCCAAAAAAGTTGGAGATGACATCGCCAAGGCAACACAAGACTGGAAGGGACTGCGAATCACAGTTCAGTTGACAATTCAGAACAGACAGGCCAAGGTGTCAGTTGTACCAAGTGCCTCGTCACTTATCATCAGAGCCCTGAAGGAACCTCCTAGAGATCGCAAGAAAGTCAAGAACAGTGAGTGGCCCATTCCTAACATCTTCTTCAGCCCTGTAAAACTCCCTGGTTAATTTTCGAATCTCTTGCAACATGTCTCACCATTTAGTTGTGCTGTTGCAAGAAAAATTGCATGAGGCATTGTGCAGTGTGGCACCCCAGAAATCAACATGCCTGCACCATTTTCATTGCAGTAATCATTATTTTACTTTGTGCAATACTCGTTGCTGTAACAGAAGTGTTGGGAGGCATGTTCAATTCAAGGGATTTTTATATTACACTGTACACTGAATTTTCTTGCAACTTGTGTTACAACAACATATTGTGAGACAGGTTGCAAGAAAATTCTCCTTGTGTTAACAGTACCTTTACTATATCAAATGGAGCAGGTGGTGAGACTTAAAGAAGATCATCAACTACAGGGGATAGCCTTGTTTTGCTATCAATTTCTCAAATAATGCCGAGAGAAATCACGTGGCAATCTGTTGGAAGAACTGTGGATTGGCATGGTTCTGACTACTTCTAGCCTATGGTCTTGCACTTTCATGAGGCTTCCCTGACAACATGACTATGATGATAATGACAGGTTGTCAGATGGCTTTTCAATAGGTGGTCATGTGACCAAGAGTGATTGTTGTGTACAGTTTGATCTAACAACCTTTGTCACATGACAAAGAGCTTTAGAAGCTGGCTTTGACCATAAAAGAGAACTTCAGACTTTTTCCAAACATGATTTAATGATGATATAAGTGTGATATTATGACACATTTGAGTGCAATATTATATCTTATCTGATGAACAGTCAAACACAGTGGCAATCTGACCATGGACCAGATTATCGAGATTGCGAGAACCATGAGGCCAAGGTCAATGGCTCGTAAACTGGTGGGCACAGTGAAGGAGATTCTTGGAACGGCCCAGTCAGTGGGCTGTACTGTGGACGGACAACCCCCACATGATATCATTGACAAAATCAATGACAATGAAATAGAGATTGAGGTATGTATTTTTGCTGCTTCTCTTTCACCTGTAAACTAGAAACAATTATTGGATGAGGTTTCCGTGATATCCAGAATAATCAAGGTCAAGGCAAGGGTTATCAGGCAAAGCCGAAGGTTGAGGCTGATAACCCTTACCCAGATCTTGATTATTCTGGATGTCACAAAAACCAAATCTAATAATTGTTTTATTATACATTGAACAAAAACAAAATGGAAGTCATGTTTTTGCTTCTTCACTGATGGAAAGCAACACAAAGCACGCAAACTTGACATGATTACCCTTAGAAATCATGCTCCTCAGTCATACATGACATGATTACCCATGACCTTGAGTGTCCTTGACATGATTATTGTATAATCTGCAGCTAGATGATGTCACAGGTGCTGATTTCGAAAATTCACTGTATGTTTTTGGCCAAATTAATCAGAAATGAGATAGTGAGTTCAATGTTTAATAATTTTCCTGGTTGGTGCTTTAGATTGGTCTTACAAATCAACAATCTGCCTCTGCAGTCAGCTTAATAAAATTTGTTTATTACCACTCCNATTGAGGTATGTATTTTTGCTGCTTCTCTTTCACCTGTAAACTAGAAACAATTATTGGATGAGGTTTCCGTGATATCCAGAATAATCAAGGTCAAGGTAAGGGTTATCAGGCAAAGCTGAAGGTTGAGGCTGATAACCCTTGCCAAGATCTTGATTATTCTGGATGTCACAAAAACCAAATCTAATAATTGTTTTATAATACATTGAAGAAAAACGAAATAGAAGTCATGTTTTTGCTTCTTCACTGATGGAAAGCAACACAAAGCACACAAACTTGACATGATTACCCTTAGAAATCATGCACCTTGGTCATACATGACATGATTACCTGTGACCTTGAGTGTCCTTGACATGATTATTGTATAATCTGCAGCTAGATGATGTCACGGGTGCTGAGTTCGAAAATTCACTATATGCTTTTGGCCAAATTAATCAGAAATGAGATAGTGAGTTCAATGTTTAATAATTTTCCTGGTTGGTGCATTAGATTGGTCTTACAAATCAACAATCTGCCTCTGCAGTCAGCTTAATAAAATTTGTTTATTACCACTCCTACACCAATCACATTTTGACTTGTCAGTTTTTATTTAAATATATTAAATTAATCTTACCCCTCTAATTGCAAGTCACAAAGAGCTAATTTCTCAACTTAAGCCAAGTCATCAACTTGTCAAGTGGACAGCTGACAAGAATGGGTGGGTGACATTTATGTAACTAGGGTATATTGGTTTGATGGACCTCCAAATTCTCATTAGTTCATATGAGACTGAGATACTTGCAAATGGCAGCTCTTTTCGTGAATGGGATTGACCCTTGAATTCTCTGATGTCAGCATTAATGTTGATTGTTTTGGAAGGAAAAGCTCTTGATTGAAAAGCTTGAGCTTGATTGAGAAAAGGAAGTTGACAAGTGACAGACAAGGATAACTGGTGTACATGCACAAATACTTCCTATAGCTGGTCTTTTTACTGTTAAGCTGCTTTCTTTTAACATACTGTTTTTCTTCTTTTCAGGATGAATAAACTCAATTCCTCAAGAAAATCAATAAAATTTTAAAGAACCAGTTTTGAGTTTGTTTTGTTTTGCATCTCTTCACAACAAGAAATAAGGGACCATTCCTTCCCTTTTGGCTGGAGTGCTGACCCTTTCCATCATACACAGGGTAGCCATCCACTGGAAGCAAAACAAATCCCTAACTTTTCACTGACTGTAAAACAATTTTCACTGACCATGCAGGATGATAATTCTGGCCATAAAATGGCTCAGATAATGTTTAAAACAAAATTGCCTTGTCTATGCGAAAACATCTAATAAAATAATTTGCGGCAACCTCAAGATAAAATTCCGTGACTTTCTCAACCTCAAAGTAATTATGTTCAAGTCCCTGAAGCCTTGGGGCCATATAGTATTTTAATGCAAGTGAAGAATGATCATTGCAGTAAATTTTCCAATTTAAGCAATCGGAAAGAAGCCTGAAAAAATCAGGGCTTCAGCGGGATTTGAACCCGTGATTTCCCCGAATACCAGTGCGATGGTCTACCAACTGAGCTATGAAGCCACTCATTGTCTCCCTCTTCACTTTCATCAACAACTGCAGTTCAAATGTGAATTATTTCATATATACTCAACATCATTTCACTCCTCATGGGAAGATATGAACTCAATTATTTCATATTTACTCCACATCAGTATTTTAATGCTTTGCAATCTCGGTTTCTAATTGCTATACACCAGAAGGGCCGATTCAAATCATCCAATAAACTGGTCATCAGCCATTCCCACATCCTCCACAGTACACCTTGTTTGCCCCCCAAAATTCTGCATAACCTTTGTTTCCCATTTCTCCTGGGTATTACAGTCATCCCAAGAGAAACTAAAGAAATTGCTTGTGCAAAATTTTGGGGGCAAACAAGGTGTATTATGGGGGATGTGGAAATGGCAATTAGCAATTTTTCGTGGACAATTCTGTCCAAGGGGGAAAGGTACAATGAGGTTAACCTTATGTAAGAACACCCACCAGTGAGACAAGGCCAGACCACAACACTAGGAACTACGTGCCCTACTCTTTTCGATGTGTGTGGGTTCTTTAATGCCCCCTGCTAACCCTGTAACACTGAAGATGCGGGAGACGGGGCCTGCAATTTATAGTCCTAATCGAAGAAGACTTGAATGTCTCACTATTTTCAGATATAATTACAAAGGCAGCACATTCTCCTGTGTTGGTCTGGTCTGGGGCTCAAACCCTCACCTCACAGCAGTCTGGCACTCTAGCAACTGAGCTAACCAGGCCACGGCAGCATATTTTTTCCCACTGGATATACCTTGCATGTCCCTGAAAGGTAGGGCAAGAGAGTTGTGTGTATATACTGTGTGTTACACAGTTGGGTCACCCTAACTTCAAAGCAAGTGATTTTACACCCCATAACAACAATGCAATATTTCTTACATTGTACTGCTGTTTGTAAAGAAACATGGAAGTGCTTTCTTGCTTCAGGAGGCTTAAGGTGGCCCTTTGTAGCACTGGGTGTTTATTGACTACAGTATAAGGTTGGCTCTTTGCAGCCATTACAGGCCATGTGGGCAAAACCTGAACAATGACTCCCACATCATGACCATGACTAACCTTGTCTCTGGATATGTTATTCGTACAAGTGCTAATTAACAGGAAGTGAACTTACAAACACATAAGGGTAAAACAGAACATTGTTGAAACATGCCATTTTATTTCAAACAATATTTTAACATGGTTTGTTATTGAACATCGCTTCTACCAGGCCTATGGATAGATGGTAAATTTTGTGAGTGTAGTATCATTGATAAGCCCCAGCCATGTGCAATGCCGGAACAAAAGATCATGTTTTGTCACTTCAGCTCATGTGCAATGCTAACAGTGTATCAGCTCAATAAACTACAAGTAATTTAAGTTCCAAATATTCATCAAAAAAATAATGCAGCTTTGTGCAATGCTGCAATCAAAGAGAAGTTTAACTTGCAGTTAGATACTACAGTGGAGAAAATGAAACCGTTCATGTTACAATATGGCAGCCTTAATGTGCAATGCTGCGGTCAGATCAAACTAATGCTTAAAATGCAGCCAAGTGCAATGCTGCAATCAGTATGTACTATCTAAATTATTATATCGACAGCTCTGTGCAATGCCACCAATGATAAAACGAAATTGCTTGTCCATAAAAATCAAGGATCTTCACCATTTTGAAATAAGACTGTCCCTGCTTTTATACCTCACCATCAAAATTAAAATTCTTTCTTCAGTTTTTGTGTGGTTATAAAATTTCTTTCAAATTAATCAGAATAACCAATTCAAAAACACACATCCTGTTATTGTGTGTGACATGATATACTCCTGTTACTATACTTATTTTGGATTGAAAAAGAAACTGGTATCAAATTGATAAAGAATGACACTAAAGTTAATTTTAAAATGTTGCCGGTGGAACTAGTCTGTCACCAAAAAGCAAACAGATCAAATGACTAACAATGGTGGGCTCCTGTTGATGGTGCATGCATGTTGATGGTAACATCCTCTAATCGACTTGCACGGAAATAACTATTGATAACAATGGTGCCCAGAGCAGATCACTTCTTAGCGTAGGAGATTTTCATGGCCCGTGATGGAGTAATACGGAATCCCTGCAGAGCTTCTTTAGCTGTTCCTGACTGTACTTCATTTTCAAACTCCACAAAAGCAATGTCTGATCGGCCTGGAACCAAACGAACCTCTTTGAATCCAGGAAATCTGTAGCAAGAAATTGCAAAGTACAAAGAAAGAAACAAAACAGCAAAACAATGTCACTTAAATCACAAAGTTGTCAATTGAATTTTACACAAAAAACAAAGAGTATGAAATGACAACAAAGAGGATTCTTTGCAAAGACATTTCAATTAAAAGGGGCAAGCGCCATGATATGTTAACTCTCAACACTGTTCTGCGTGGTTTTTGATGGGTAACTAAAATTGGAAACTAATGCAACATTGTCTAGAAGAAACTTGTACATCTACAACATGATAAAGCTTTCTTTCCTCCCAATTAAACTACCCTAGAGATACACGGAAACGCAGCAAATAAATGAACACTGTTAAGCATTAAGATTGGCTTGGTGAGAAAATTCAACATGAAATAAAATAAAAAATAGACAGGAAAATTTAGCACGCATTTATTAAGCAGAAAATCCTTAATCCAGGAATGGTACTGGTTGAATAACATAGACAACATCAACTCAGTTGTCTCCTCTGGTAGGTTAGTCAAGAACAAGATATTGTTGGGCTGCTCAGGTAACACCACAGCTGGCTGTACTGGAGTTGGGATGACTGTGGAACCAGAAAATGACAGACACATTAATTAGGCTAAATGTCATTTTATCATTTAAAATAGGAAATATAAAAAGTAGCAAAAAGTTCCACTTCAAAAATAAAAATGACACCTCTTCACCAAAAACAATTATTGATTTAGCATGAAGGACAGGTTAAAGTTGAAAACATGAATATTCCACTACCATTTGGTGCAATTGGCGCAGCGACAGGCTGAGCAACTGTAGCAGGAACAGGCTGGGCAGCTGCTTGTCGTTTGGCTGGTTTAGCTGCATGGGCCAAACAAAATAGGTTAGCACAGGAATGAGTGCTACAATGTAAATCAAGCTCCACAACATTGTTTTTTTACGTGTTACAATAACAATACTAAAATGAAAGTTCCTCCATCACACTCATGTGTACCAAAAGGCAAACTCCATTTGATTTTAAGCTGTCCCTCTTTGAATTAGAATAATGCTTTCAATCTGTCTATAATATATTTGCAGTTTTTATTTGTATTTAGCATTGTGCACATTAATTTCATTGCATGATATAAAAGCCTACAAATTTCGGAAAAAGAATGACATGGAATCCCAATAATATTCATTCACCACACTGTCCCTCCATTCCTGGTGTACAGAGCATGAATGGATAATGATAGTGACACTGTACATGTAAAAACAGAAAAAAACATTGAACAGAATTTACCACATAACTATAGAAACCAATACACTTGTGTGAAAATTTTTCCATTACAAATAAATTCTGAAATCTTATACAGAAGCAAAACTATGTTATTGCAAGGTCAAAGACATCAGGGAACAAAAGTGATGATCAGTGTTCATTGCAGCATTACCTTGTTCTGGAGCTTTTCTCTTCTCTTTGGGTTTCTTCTCTCTCTGAACATATGTTCCTTCCTTTTTCGCTACAGCATCAGACTTGCTCTTAGCATATTGTATTCTCTAACACATGCAGTGAGAGGAAAAGTGATGTAAAAACTTCACAGCATCAGAACAACAAGCTTAACGTCTAGTGAGGGCACTTTTGACAAAACTGTTGTCCGTGATAGACATTTCAGTGAACTGAGGGGAAGTAATCTTCAGGGTCAAGTCATTTTCAAAGTCACTTGACTCTGAAGATGACTCCCGCTCAGGTTGCCAAAATGTCATTCACCAACAAGAGTTCTTTTGAGAACTACTGTACCCTAACCTGCATAATCACGCTAGCTGAACAACTGGATACTCCTGGGTTCAAACCATTTACAGCATCACTACATGGCAATAATATGGTCTCAGAATGCCTTCATGTTTCTTTACATGACAGAATTATGTAGAAAACCAGGACCTTGAAACAAGTGCAATTTAATGCACTGATTTTAAAATCTTTCCAGCACTACTCCAGGACAAACCTCAATAGCTTTCTAACTTGTTACAGGACGAAACCCTTACAAATTCAATTTACTTCCTTCAAACTTAGCAAAAAATGTCCTCTATGCAAATTGACACCTTGTAGCTAAAAATAGTGCTGTACAAGAAGGACTTGTTCTCTTAATACTACCAAACAAGCATGTTTTCAAATACTCACAAACAACCTCTGATACATCCTCACTCAAGCCAAATTATACTTTGGAAAATAATATCTTAGTAACTAGGATCCATGAAGATCATTCAACACAACAAAAAAATAATTTTTCTCTGTTTTCAAACAAAAGAGGATTCATTAGCATACTAACAACATCGCTGACCATAGGTTAAATATTCATTGCCCCTGATTGCTGAATAACAGATGTCATCAGAATAAACTTAACAACACAGTAAAGACTCTCAATAATTTGACAGCCAGAATATTTAATCAAACTGCTAAAAAAAACTTTGGCAAAGCTCTCAAATTAAAAAAGTTTTCCTACAGATGTAAATTAATGCACTCAAGTTTTTAACAGGAAGTTTATCCAGCTGTTTTTCATGATCTTCATTTCAAGTTATCAGACTTCAAACAGTAGATCTGCTGCAATATTGACAAGTATTTTTTAATCAAACCATGCCAACAATATTGACTGCTTGTAGTGAAATGAAATATTCGGCCCTTAATAAACCATCTAGAAAAAAAATAATTATATTTATTTATCTTTAGGATCTGCCAAAATAATATTCTTGTAGAAACTTTTCCTGAACTTAATTATCCATGCATAACATGCACACTAAAAACCATGGTCATTAAAAAAAGATTATACAGGGATACAAAGACTTTTCAAACCATTGATGTTTGCAGAGAGCATCAACTCAAAATTAATCATTTTCTACCAGTCAGCATTCTCAGCAAGCATAATCATACCTCCAAAAACAATTTTTTGGTCACAAACCACTGTATGATACATACCACTCAAGCTGTAGGGTCGGTTCATTCTACACTGTATAAGCAAAGAACTTACCATTGGCTTGTCATAAAACGGGAATCCTTGCATTGAGCGCAGTGCATTTGTGGCGCTCGTTAAGTCTCTAAACACTACAAATGCCTGACCTCTCATTTTGAGGGTCTTAAGTGCAACAATGTCTAAAATGGGTCCAAACTGTGAAAATATGGCATACAGTGACTTCTTCAATTCTGCAAACATCAAAAGAAAATGTGTTATACATGTACACTGTAAATTAGTATTTACTAAGTAACATAAAGTTTAGAAACCCTTCACTTATATTCGTGTGTAAGCATGTAAGCACGAACACCTCATGAACACAAAAAAACTGATCTGACGTTTGGCAGAACAATTCCTAAAGGTTTCAATTTCAAAGTACAACATAGTTGGTATCATTTCATAATTTGAGTTGTGAAAGTGTTTTCAGTAAGTATGGATTCAACTTCAAATCAGGGGTTCTCTCAACAAAGGAAGCTTCTTTTAAGCTTCCTCTGTGCTCGTATATGAAAACATTATTTTCACTGACAACTTCATGAAATGATACCAAGTGCATTGTACATGTACTTTGGGCAAGAAAGTTAGCATTACAGCCTGCCAAACTTCAGATAACTGATGATGAGTCACCCAATGAAATCATGCTTTTAATGCAAGGTGTTCACACTGTGAAGCAAATAACATTGTTGAAGCAGTTCAAGGTCTGAAATTACCAGCAGATGATCATCAACAGGCATGGATCCAAACCGGTTTCCACCGTTTTACGGAAATTGGTCAGAAACCCCCTCAAAAATCCAGAGCATTTCCTAAGCGAGCATGGCCCTGGATCCCTCTAAAAGGCACTCGTTGTTTCGGAAATCAGTCACCATTTATCCTAGACCCGCACCTAATCAATGTGGCTACACTTCAGTGTGTGTTTTCCTGTTTCAGTGTCAACTGACAACTGAAGAATTCAGTTGCCACTGTACTTGAAGGCTGCCTCTGCATAGCATAGTTAATTTGGCCCGCGTTATAGTATGCTACAGCCTGCAGTAATACACGTAAAAATGTTATAAGGCATTTTGAAGTAAGCTTACATACAGGATGGGTGAATTTCCTACGAAACTCTGTATTTCACAGCAGTGAGAGCTCATTTAAACATGGTGAAGGATTCAAGACGAGCTCCGAGTTTGTACCTATCAGTAAAAGACTCGTAGCTCCACCTTTAACTAACGCGAGGCTGCGATCTACAGCTCTATATCAAAACAGCAATGCAACGCTTGACGCGCACGTGTATTTCCATTCCACAACACTTAACCACAAAACGTTTCAAAACGCATTCGTTGCGTTGTGAACGGAAGACATCTCGCTGTTTATCGCTTGACTAGTATCAATTGCGACTCTTAATAACACTCACCATCCTTCTTGACTTTCTCGTTGAGGTTGTTGATGTAGATGGTTTGGTTCGGTGGATTTTCCATCCTTATTGCTTCTCTGTTCAAAAACCGTCGACTGACCGCAATTCCCGCGCACCTTCACCAATCAAATGAATCGACAGAAAGATCTCGAGGAGGTTGTTTTCGCGAGTGGAAATAAAAACTAGCGTTTTAAAACAAAAATATGGCTCCAAGAGCAGAAAATGAAGGTAGTTTACAAACCAGATGGTCTAACTCAATAGAAACTCAAGCAGATTCAACTTTGACAAACGGCCGAGAGACGCCAAGGGGCATGTCCAAAAGATACCTCATGTAAGGCCAACAGATTTTCCTCTCCATGAACCCGCGAAGATATTTCATGTAAGGCCAACAGATCTTCCTCTCAATGTACCGATCGCTAGTGATGGCTTTTTCCCTATTATATTTTCTCTTTTTGCTTTGTGATGAAAGAATTTTGAGAATCGCCTTAATGTGTCTGTCCAGGCCTTACAAACCTGGAAATATGACGTTATTTTGATAGGTTTCGACTGCATTAACCACTGACGTAGACCCTCTATTTTGTCTCGAGTTAGGATCGTCGATATCGCAAGCAAAATTATTAACCGCAGAGGATTTGAAAAAACCCGAACGCAGGGGAGTGGCCCTGAGGAAAGGCAACTCGCGCCCCGTCCCGCGTCCCGCGCTCGCTCAGTGATGCGCTCGCATCGCTCGTGCTCTCGAACAAAGATAACTCGCAGTAAAAAATAAGCGTCTGTGGAGACTCAAGTATTGTCAGGCAGCAGTCGTCCAAAACAGCCAGTTCGCCTAAAATACAAAAAAAGAAGAAAAAAATGACGCCTGTTCTGCGGGTTAGTGATATGTATTGCTGAACAACAAAATTAGCTGTTCTGCCAACTTGGATCTCACTTTATTTTATTTTCAATTATTTATTTTTTTGTCTTTGTATGTGATTTTTCAAGCGCTTCAGGGAAACCAAACGTACAAGTTTTTCTACGCATAGCCAGGCCTCTGCTAGAGACAGTAGAGTAGATAGTAACCTGGTCGCTAAGTGTTTTCCTCGTCCTATAAGTTCCGTTCTTACTGCACCCGCTGACGTTATTTCCGAGAAGAAAACGATCACGCGGGTATTTCCGTCATTCATAAAAACTCTGTGATAAGTTTCTGAATAAAAATTATACCTATTTACGTGGCAGAAGTGTAGCAGCTCTCATAAGCTTGTAATTCTCTTCATTGTTAGCAGCTGTTATTGTTTTAGGACTAGGGGCATTGTTTCTGTTGTTTGTTCTATTGAACCGTTGTATTAAGCTCTTGGGTCCCATTACACAAGAACGGGGACAAAGAAAACTGGCAAGACATACATTATAGTCTCACTGCATATCATACTTTACTTCATTAAGGCCATAGAGGCATTATCCACCGTATTTCGGATCAAAACAACTCAAAAACTCCGTGTTGAGATGCAAATACAGCTCATAGAAATCCCGGATTCGAAAAGAAAGCAGTATAGTGATGGAAGATAGGGGTGTTTTCAATGTTTGCCGGATGCACATAAATTGAGCAACCCTGGATTCAACAATACAACGTAAAACCAACTCACATTTTATTTGGGTTACCCTACAGTATTAACCTAATCGTGCCTAAGAAACACTTGAATATACAAAATTCTTCCCTCATGATTTACTGGGTAATATCATGTAATGAATTTAATTGGTGTTTTTCTTTAAGCTTACAGCAGTAGGCTATTGCAGCATATGTGTTAGATCAGACATATGGGACGGAAGAAAACGGGGACGAGTCAACAGAGTGGCTTTCGTTCCCTTCTTTGACTCTCTGCGACAAAAAATTTTGTTTCGCAGGAAGTTGAATACTTTTAGCAACCATAACATATTGCTACTTTTAAAGCCCCCTTGCATGCAATGATCACTTAAACACACATGCCAACTGGAACCAAAGAGCTACTTCACTAGACCGGTAGTGAAGTGTCCACAAACTACATCCGTTACCTGCACGGGGCATCAGAAGCACTTTTTTACAGAACAAAGAATAATATTGTTATCATACTGTGGTAGTAATAATAAGGACGTATTTTCGACCTAACTATTGAGTCAAAAACGTTGTGAAACAACAGAATTATCTAACCCGCCACTCAGTGAAGAATGGCTTTTTAACCTAGAACGTTGTTCGGGACGTCTGGAAAAATTACCAACGCACGTTTCGCTACATCACATGTGCATGACAGCAGCCATTTGACCACGCGGTGAGTCAAAATAATAATGTACACTTAGTGTAATAACCAATGAAAATAATACCTTCGAGCACTGGTCTGGTTTGTAGCAGGTAATGCGCATGTACAACTATGATCACGAAGGTCTTTAACAATATGAAACGGCCGAACTTAAACCTACAACGACTTAGTTCGATAATACTGTATACCAAATGGTTTCTAAGGATATAAGAAAACTGTGTACAGGGTGAATGACTCTAAAATACATTTTCAGCCGTACAAAATGATTGTTTAGATTTCCTTTGATCGGTTAATAATTTCGACTATTGCAATGCGCTGTACAGTAGCACTACAGGCCTGGCTGGATCAAATAAGAACGAAAATCTGAACCAGAGTTAAGTGGAGTTCAAAATTTACTGCCCACCCTCACACTAACCTGAGATCAGACGTTCTTTTTTTGGCGAACGGGGGAAGGGGATTTGTTCTTCTTACCCCTTCCCCCGTTCGCCGAAAAAAAGAACGCCTGATCGCAGGTAACTCTAACACTGAGTCATCGAATTAAAACCCGATCAGATCTTCATGACAGCCGACTAAAGTTTTCGCACGCTTGTCAGGCAGATGAAGTCAACGCTCGCGCACTCTCAGCTCGTTTGACTGCGCGCTGTTGATAGTCGATGAGAGTAAAAAAGGAAACTCTTGTGCAGCTCTCGTCTCGTGGAATCTTGTTCTTTGGAGGAGGGATCTTTCTCTTCGATATCTACGTGTAAGTAAATGCATTGTGTGAAAAATTGACACCGGCGAACACTTAAGCCGTGCCAGCAGCCTGTCGCTCTCTCTGTTCCCGGATGCGCACGTAAGTCGCTTCATTCAGTGTATCGCGGGCGCGCCCAGTTTTGGGATGTGACGGCCCAAGCACCTGGATTGAAAATAAAGGAAAATGTCAGCGGTAGCTTTACAGTTGGTATTATATCAGTAAAATGTAAACTAGAAGACTCTTAGCAAGCTCTCTTGGCGTGTGACGCAAGTCACGCAATCTTTCAGGTGACAAGTAGACATGACAGGTTAAGAGAATGTCTCCTTAGGAGGCTAAATGGTAACTGACAAGTGGCCATGGTTACTGATCGATTATGCTATTCTCCTGACCTACAAGCGAGGCTCTGTATTGATCATGTCTTGAGAACCTAGAACCTGAATGAGCTTTGATCAAGCTGAGCTCTCTCTCTAACAAGATTGAGGCACAACTTATCCCTGCTCCAATCCTACCTATCGCGGCAAAGATGACTCAACAATACCTGGTATCCGTCCTATGAAGCAACTTGGAGTAATAGCACCCATACACAAAGATTTGAGTCACCTCTATCCCTAATTGTTTCAGAGTATGTAACACTTAATACTTGACAGGTCTACTAACCTCCTGACACGTCTCGTGCCACTTGACAAAGTAATCATAGGCCTTCTGGAAATCTCTGTTGTCTTCATAAAGGATTCCAATGTTCAAGTAAAGCCGCAGCGTCAACATGTGTTTCTCGCCGTACGTCTTCAGACACAGCTCGAAGGATCTGTTGAGCATCTGCACAAACACAAAACACGAGTCAGCTTGCTGCTGAATAAAACGCTCCTCTGTGATTACAGGAAGTAAAATTATTCAGTCTACTGTTAGTCATTAAGAAATTCTTACTGACTAATAGTAGACTTACTAAGAATGACCGTTTGGAAGATTAACCGCGATTTGAGTAACCCCCTATTGAGACCCTCGGATTTGGCTCAATAATTACAGCCACGAAACCTGTCTTTGATCTACTTTGAACATTAGAAGTTTTCAAAACTGTATATATAAGATGAGAAAATAAACAAAAAGTAACGTAAGTACCTCTTCTTTTTCCTTGAAATATTTCCTCGCTCGCGGATTAATAAATGACTTGGTCATGATAGCTTCAGCCATGTGTCCCATGTCTCCATGCTATGATAAGACAAACAGGAAATACCGGTTGCCAAACATGAAAATTACAACACTTGTCAGGTTATTACTTCAACTACAAAACTAAAACTACGAACGTCCTTACAACCTTTTTCAGTGGAACCCGCTACTCGTAAAAGACCTTGCTGTAATTCCCGTTTACAACGAACAGGTTTTCTCCCTCCCAGTCAAAATACTCACTTAAAACTCACACGGGCGTAAACAGCAATAATTCCACCCATTCAAACAAAAGTGCATGAATTTCTTGATCCGAAAAACAACGACGCTGTTATCTCGGGAAAGTCTATTATCTTACCCTCATAAAGATGTCAATAGCCTCATCGATATATTTAAAACAGTCTTTTCTTGTTTGTTCGGCGTTATCACGTTCTAAATCGGCCACGATGCTCAAGTGATGTGCAATCAGTATATCAATCATTGCAGTTTTATGCTGTGGAAATAAAAGTCGGGCAATTTTAAAGAAGCATGTTATCACTCCGTAATGTGAACTACAAGCAGGCTGATTAAATCAATTTAACGGGAAAACTGATTTACTTAAAAAATAAAATAATTCAGCACAAATAGATATCCCTCGAAGGAGGGGCAAAGGAAGGGAGGAGGGAAAGAATGACGGAGGGGAGGAGGGAGAAGAAAAGAACGAAGTTAGGACAGGGCGACCGTAGGCTAAAAGGTTACTTGTCTGAGCTACCAAGAGGTTCACTGACTTACTTACTGACCGACTGACGGACGAACGGACAGACTGGCTGACTGTCTGACTGTCTGACAGGTTGAGTGTCTGAGTATCTGACTGTCTGACTGTCTGACTGGCTGACTGGCTGACTGTTTCACTGTCTGAATGTCTGACTGGATGACTGACTGTTGTTGATTAGTTCTTAATTGACTGATTAATGACTGACTGATTTATTTCCTAATAATTGACTGACTGACTGACTGACTGACTGACTGGCTGACTGACTGATTGATTGATTGGTTGATTGATTGATCGATTGGTTGATTGATTGATTGATTGATTGATTGATTGACTGATTGATTGATTGATTGTTTGATTGATTATTGACTGGTTGATGGGTAAAAGGCTGGCTGAGACTGTACCTCATGCTCCTCGCCGCTCAGCTGTTTTCGGAAACTCAGTGACTTTTTACAGAATTCAACAATTTCTCGGTCCTGCTCCAACTGATCCATCGTCACGAAGTTGAAGTTCTTCACAACCTAAAAACAATACCACATTATTCAGTTGAGGAGAACCGTGGACTCCTCCACATACACTCTTTCTGGCTTATCACGCAAGCCCCTCCTCCCAAACGAACATATGTCACGCAATCTATAACAAATATACGTCATGCAATGTTAACCCCTCGATGACTATACATTACGCAGTCTACTCCAAGACAAATACCACTCGTTCTTTACTTCCCAACGAAAGAGCGATCGTTACTCATTCTTTACTTCAACGAACACACGACACGAATTTTTCCTTTACAGAACGTACGTGACGCCATCTTCTTTCCTCCTGACCTTACGCCACGGTTACTGATTGAAAGTGTTATACATTACCTCACTCTTGGTCTTGGACATTAGTTGATAGATGTCTGCTAGTTTGTCTGTTCGAGCACCCAGACTTTCCTCTTCTAACTTCAACAAATCATTCAACAGTACGTGTGCATCTTCATACTGTCCTGCTTGGATCCTAGATTACAAAGAATCGTCACTTAATTTTGAGATTGATCTCTCTTAATCCCTGTTTTAAATAACGTTAAAAAAGATATTAAAGAAGAATCACCAATTTTAACACATGGTTAGTCACCACTCAAAGATCAAACAACTGTACATAATAGGCAATGAGACATTATAAGCAATGTTAAGGTCGGATTTTTAATCCAACTTCACTCACAGACTTAAAAGTTAGAACCACCTTGCACAGCATTACAAACAGTACCAGATGAATGTAATGCACAGTAGCTTTCATTTGAATGGTCATACTAGGGCTTCATCCACTAAAAAGTGACCATTACCTTGCACATCATAATCAACAGTAACACATGAGACGTCCACATGAAAGAACTGCTAAATAGCTTTCATTTCAATGGTCACACTACCATGGCGATAACATCACAATGTACTTACAGGAACATGACGACCATCTCAGTTTTCTTGGCGACGTCTTCAAGAGTTGCGTCTGACTCACGTAACACTAGTAATGATTCCTTATATAGAGCGGACGCAGTAGCGTATCCACCAGCCTGTCAAACAACATACATTACAAAACATGTACCAAGCGTGGGAGAAAGGAGAAATCTGAGACCCCGATGAAATTAGAACCCATGAACACCCACATGGTATACTACTCAGGCGCTTTAACCACCGTGCTACATGTTTCTTTACAATTGGTACAAAACGATTCAGTTCAAATTCCACCTGGGAGAGAGATGAGAAAGCCCGCGGTTTCAACAGCGGTGCTGCCTAGCAACGAAGTGTATGGTAACAACATACTGCTCTAGCTCAGACTGACTGGACAATAAAAGAGCGGAAACTTACAGCACTAAGACAGTAGTTGTTTGCTGTTTGGAAAAGAAAACGTCCCAGTGCAAAAAGCAAAATAGTTGTCGCGTCAAAAACAACAAAAACTTGTATTCAGTTATGGGTTCTATTATTGCTGATTCTTTTACCTTTTGCCATGATCTAAGCAGGTCAATGCTGAAGTCGTCATTGAAGAGCCGTCCAAACACTTCCCATTCTAACAGGCACCGTGTTAACCTGTTGTTATCCAATAGCTGCTCAAGATGATACGGAAGTTCCTGTCGACGAGATAACAGAGTCAGACCAACAAGAGGCATGGTTGCATACATTTTCGTGATTTTATGAAGGTACCTTCGAAGGCAATCGTAATTCGGTGATATTAAAAAAGACAACTTCTATAACTGGGCCAGGTCATCCACACAGAGTGTCACATCTTAAGTGCGACACACAGTTAAGTCTCTGCTGCATGAATCGATAGAGCTTACCTCTGATTTACGATCAAAGTCCTCACTCCCTTCAAAGAACTCCGCGTGTTTTCCATGCCAGAACGTGTACTGATGCTTAGTATATCCCTCTGATCCGGAGAAGTACCTTTGAAAAGAAAATTTTACATGTAAAAAATATAATATATTTGAGATATAAAACTTGACAACGACCAATTGGTATAACGTTTGCTTTGTGAGGCTCTTTTGCAACAGAACTCACCTTCTTTTAAGGTAGAAGAATTTAAGCTTAAGCCATAGGTCCAATTACTTTTTAATATGAATAAAGTTAGATTAAGCAATCAGCCGGAACATTATCTCAGCTGGGCACCAGCGCTTAAGAAATAGACCTGAGGTTACTGAAAACAGCTCCTTCTATTTTACGACTAGTTCGTTAAACCGCCATCTTAAATCCCATGGAGTAAAAGCGGTTACACATGGTACATACCGCCGGCCTCTGAGGATCTCGGAGTAGTTTGCCCTTTTCCCATGTTTCGCTCGCTACGAAATTCAAAATGGCGGCTCTACGCTGGGTTCACATGGGACGTTTTGGTACAATCTAATACTCACTTTCTCCTTACAGCTTTACTAATAGATCTGTGATAGAAGTCCAGCCGTCCCTCACCCAAGTCCCCGCACGGTCGCAGGAGTGGCTTCAGTGCACGATACACCAAGGCCCATTTGACCGCTGGCAGAAATTTCTTCTCGTTCTTCTTTGATTTTCGGCCAGTAGCTTTCTTCTCTTCGTCCTGTTTGTCGTCGTCTTTTTGCACGTATGTCTCGTCTACCTGTTTCGCGAGTTTACCTGCGACTGAATGGCCTTCTGGCGCAGCTGCAGGTTTCAAAAGACAATCATTAATACGTTTGCGATCTGCGTCAACCCAGCATCTTTTGAACATGTGAGACAAAGCTATTTGTTAAATGTCGTTGTTTATAGTGGTCGATGCGCTTAGCAACAACCAGCTAGTTCTCAGGCATCATCCGCATGCCACTTAAATTGAAAGAAAGAAACATTTCAAATAAACATATCGTATAGCACTAAATTTTTCCGCGTTCTAATTTCTGCGATTTTGTGTTTTTTTCCACGATCCGCAAAAACTTTCTCCCCAAAATTTACTCCACTGGCGAAATTATACATACAAATATCACAAGTGGAATCTTGTTGCTGTCATTTATTTAAAACGTCTCTTTCGTTTAAAAACAAAACGATGAAATGAGAAACAAAAGGATCAGAAGTTAAAAAAAAGTCTACAGGAAAAGATCGTCTGAAACTACTCTATTGAGAAGAGCATCTACAGTTCCGCACAAGAGCACGATGTAACTGAGATAGAGTGAAACTGATTACTGGATTACTTTGTTTTACATCTCTACATTTTTTTTGTCAATTGCATACAGTTTAAGGAAAAAATGCGAACATTTTGTAATTTCAATTTAACGCGACTTTCCTAAAATCGCTAAAACTAGTACCCAGCAAGAAAAAACAAGTTTTTTTACAATCGCAAAAATTAGTTCCCGCACAATACAAAAACTCACTGATTCGCAAGAATAAACTCCCGCAAAAATTTAGAGCCGCACGGGTATAGATCCCAACTGGCGGGAAGCAGACCATTTGGCTATTTACGAGCATGACCGAGGAATTGAACAAGGGTCTAGCGAGACACAATTCCAGCTTAGTGGTCAGAGCGGGACTTGAACCCGCGACCTCCGGTTTTCAAGTCCGGCGCACTAACCACTCGGCCACGCCGCCTCCCACAATGATGCCCGCTGTTTAATCCTTCTAAGACACCCTCTTAAGACCGTTTGTTATTAAGAACCCAGCTTTTCTTCAGTAATCACAAACCTGCTTGCGTTGTCTCGGCCTTTGTCACGGTAATCTGATCAGATTCACCCTCGACATAGGGGGGAGGGGTAAGGGTGCTTTCTTCAGCTAACATCTGCAGCAGTTCTGTCTCTAGCAGACCGTGACGTGAGGTTTCCAGTAGGCACACTGTAGCTACAACAACCTGACCGCCATTTTCTTCTTCAAACCGAGTCAGAACTTGTTCTTCCAGACTGAAAGCAAAAGAAACATGTTGGCCTTTGCAAAGTCGTTCCTATCTTTCGATGTGATCACTGGATTAGTCAGTTCCTTTGCTTAGAAGTTCAGGTAAAGAGATTTTACCTTTCAAATTCAATTGGATGTCAGAGCGCGTTCGTTAAAAGACAAAATGGGAGAGCATTGGCCAAATGGCAATCATGGGACCATAACTGAGGACACTGCTCCGTGGGATGAATGCATATCACTTCAACTTTCCAATCGTGTAATTTCCATTTTAGTTTTGTGCTTATAAAAGACCTTCCGTTTTGAAAATTACGGATCTAAAAAGAAGTTGTAATTAATACTGCAAGAACAGCAAGTACATGTAAGGGAAGGTCCGCCACGACTATACTGTGGCGCAACAACCAACTTTCATTTATTTTCTTCTCACACTTTTAAAAACCCTTTTCTCAGTTAAATTGCTCCAAAAATGACAATTTACCAGTGAAGTACTATTGTCGCTCTTACAGACCAGCGTTTCATATAACCAGCATTTCGATCAGCTTTAAACAAAATAGCAAATCACCTTATGAGATCATCAGAAAGACTTGCTATTTTCTCGTCCATTTTGTTGAAATGTCCGTACACTCTGAGCTCTTCACAAGCCAGTGTTAACCACAAAGGATTAGCTGAACCTTCCTTCTCCAGCAACATGGACATCTGCCTCTCATCCAACCGCTTGTTATACTGTCTAAGAATATTCTCCACGATAAGCTGAAGAGATAAAGAAAAAAAATCTCACTCTTACTACTGCTGTTTGAAATATTAGTTGCTGACATTTCTTAAAAACGTCTTAGGGCTCTACAACATGATGATGCTAATGGTAGAACTGCAAGTGCTGACACAAGACACGTGAGTTGCAGAATAAGACACCTAAAGCAATAGCTGTCCACCCTTAAACTGTCAGCTGCTGACACTCAAACGTTGGCTTCTGACACTCAAGCGTTGGCTCCTGACACTCAAACGTTGGCTGCTTACACTCAAACGCTGGCTGCTGACTCTCAAAACGTCGTCTGCTGACACTCAAAACGTCAGCTGCTGAGTGTCAAACTTTAGCTGCTGACAATCAAGTGTTAGCTGCTGACAATCAAACGTAAACTGCTGGCACTGATACTCAAAATGCCACCTACACTGATGCTCAGAACATTAGCTGTTGACACTACCAGCATTCCAAGGCTGCTGACAATACTAACTCGTTTGACAGTGCACTAACGATAGTCGATGAGGGTCAAAAGAAAACTCAACAAGGCTGTTTTTTCCACCTCCTCTCAAATCTTGCGCTCATTAACAGCTGGCATTACATACCTTTCTAGACTGGTAGTCCAGCTGACCACACGTGATCTCTCGGGGTCCTGACTTGTATGAACGCAGCAGTCTGTGACATTCCGTGTCATTTATCATGGACAGTACTACCTTCACATTAGGAGACAAGTTCTCTGGAAGCCATCTGGTTAAATACTGAATCTTGTCATCATCCATCTTAAAGAACAACAACCGTTGCTTTTCAGCCAACCATTATTAAAAAGACCTTCCAAGGCTGGCTGATTTCTCTCTACTACTTTCTGGGGGTAGTACTTCATGTACGCTATACAGGTACGTGTTCCTGGAGGGACCACCATTTTTGACCTTCCACGTCTGTGATGGAGTTTCAATCTAGCGCTCTAAGTTTAAGATGAAGTTGCTGGATTAAACGGCAAGATGTTTCTGTACCTGATACATCATAGATGTTTTATATGTTTTGTGCTTATCTAAATCAAGTCGGGTTGACATGTGAAAAATAATGAGAGATAATGAGGATAAAACGTATAAATAGAAACATCTTCTTCACTTCCTGTCTGAGATGGGTATACAATTTATCTCTTATGTAAGATGGGATAGCAAATTTGAACATTTTTGGTTTGAGACAGAGCAGGACGCCCCCTAGGGAGTGGCGGTGACCTCCAGCAGAGTCCCTACACCGGAACTTTACCAAGTATCCCCACACCAACCTGCTGGTGTAAGATACAGCATCATTTAATTGCATGTACATTGTACCTGGTTAATGGCATCCACAAACACTACACAAGGTCTGGTGTTCTTGTTTGATAAAAGACTGTTGGTGAGTTGTACTAACGAGTCCAGGTCACTGACAACGTCCCGCTGAAATACGAACACACAAAACTATTTAACACAGAAAAAGAATAATCCCTGACGCTTACAGATACATGTAAGCAACAAAAATATACGCGCATCACACGTTATGGAGTACGCGTCTAAAAATACACAGAGCAAACTCATCAACAGCCTGAGCAAACGTCTGTAATGAGCTTCCTGTTTTTTTTTTCCTTCTGCTGCTGACAGGTGCTTGCTGTTTGCAATGGTCTGACAAAGCAGCTTTTACTTTGACCACTTGCCGTGATATTTGCTACAGCAAACGTTTTGCAATTACTCTCCTCAGCTTGTGTCCAGGAGACTAAATTGTCCCTAGAAAAATGAACTATCTTATGAGAAATATACTGTTTCAGTCAACAATGTGTCCCGAACAGAAGCGGGTTCATTATCCCGCAAACACGCTGAGCGAGAGCTGAACTTGCTTGTGGATAAGAAACTGTGATCTCAGTTATCAGTTAAATTTTCGACATTTTTTCAAGTAGCAGTTAAAATTTTGACCAATTCTCAGCTATCAGTTTAACCCCATTAAGACTCTCCAAAATGTCTTGGTTAATCTCGGCCTGAACATCTTTAAGAACAAGATAGCGCACACGACTCCGAATGCTACTGCATGAAATGGGTTTTTCGGACTGAGCAACAAATCGATCAATCAATCAAACCTTATTTAAAGAGGGTGACACTTAATAGTTAAAAAACTAATGAACTTGCGGCCCTCTATAAACATTGTTACGATTTTAAAAAAAAACCTATTCTAATTAGTAACCTAATTAAGAATTTATTTAAAACCTAATTAAAAATCACAATGTTCAACAGATTTAGATCTACAAGTCAAAGGTGAAACATATTGCTCATATCATGCGAACTGAAAATAAATTATGTAAAAAAAAAAATTATCTTAAAAAAAAGGACTTAATGTTTTTTCAAAGCATTCTTCAAAGTATATACAGATTGAGAAGCGCGTAGCTTAAGGGGGAGGTGATTCCAACATCTTGAAGTTATGGCAGAAAACGTGTGACCTCCCTCTTCCTGTGAAGGTAACTGGTCACCAAAAAGAGCAAAACATAGCTGGAATAGTCAGTTCTAACTTAATAGAAATACACTCTTCAAGATCTTAGCGAACATTCAGCAGCCATTTATCACCTTGGATACATTGATCTCTCTTGACAGCCGCTGCAGAAAGAACGCCAGATCAGTAGAACCAGGTGTAGCGCCAACAAAATGGAAAAACACTTTACATGGTAATCCCCTGTAAAAAAAAAAAAAAAGAAACACATCACTTAATTCTCAATAACTTTGTTTATTTTTAATCCTTGGCTTAAACTTGTATACAAACATTGATGTAACAAAGTAGCGAGATGTGCTGAGAAATCTTGTGCTGCGTATGAGGAACTGTGGTCGCCTCGCCAGGAAGAAGATTTGCCAACGGCGATTAGCACCGACTGAAAGTCCTCGGGCCCAGACTGTAAGTCAAGATTAGTGAGTAAACCCTACGCTCCCAGGGTCCAATATTACCGTGTTGTTCTATCTCACTACATTACTAACAATTCATAAAGAACGAGAAATAAACAGATATCTCTATTTGGACGTTAATCCAAGCAAATGGATTTTCAGTTTGGCCAGTTAGGGCAAATCATTTTTCGTTGAAACGACTTGCTTCTGCTGGGGAAGTGTTTCACTTTCTAACAAACTTTGAAGAATTTCTATAACGTTAAAAAAACGCGGGCAAAAACTTTTTTTTTTCAATTTCTTTTCGAAAATAAGTCACAAGAGACTTTTGTATTCCTGTAGAGGTATTCCATGGCTGCACAGTTGCTTCCCACGCTTTGTACACACACAGATAAACCACGTAATTGTATATTTTTTAATGGCTAATCACTTACTTAGCACCTGGCAGTTCCCCTCTCTCAGCTCTCACTAAAGCATCGCTGGCACTTTTTGCCATAATTGCAGATTTTCCTGAGCCTGCATTACCAATGAGCAGCAGTGGTGCATTGGGAGTATCACTCGTGATGGAACCCGTGATGTAGTTGTGGATCTACAGTAACAAAGGATAATGTTCATTAATTGCATGAGAAATGAGGAATAAACGTTGAAATGTTCATAAAACGGTTACATTAAAACCTAAATGTTTTAGACCAGTTTCTGCTTTAGTCTTAGCTTCAGCATGCCATGAAGGTGATGCTCTCAGTGCTGTCGAAAAAGTTTGAATAGTCAAGCAAAGATGGCCACCAATTTTGAGCTTCACAAGTCTAAGGCAAAAAAGCAGTTTCCTCGTATTATTCATTAAAAGAAGTGAACAGAATTAGAAAGTGAGGCTTAGACTTCAAAAAGTCTTGCATATGAAAATTTTGTTTCAGTAGTAAAATTGCAAAAGAGAAATATTAATGGACTTCACCTCTATATATTATTTGAGGGTTGACAAGGTACACATACATGTATACACAAAAAGAAATCTAGTGCTGTCAACTGTCAAATTCTTAACTCACATCTTCGAGTATCTTGTCTCTTCCAAGAACCACTTGCCCACGAGTGTCCAAAAATGACTGAAAATTAGTAAATAAATAAATAAATAAATAAATAAATGAATGAATGAATAAGTATGAGGCAACTAAGAACATACATGACTGTACAGTGGTTCTATTACTGATTACAGTTTTGTAAGTGTATCATTTTATTGCTTAGTCACTAGGAGATGTCATGTTGATATCTAGGTCTGAGGTAAGGTTAAGTATGCACACAGGCCAAGTGGCCCATCAGGCCGGAGCTTATCCCGGTTTCTGTAGCATGAAGCAACTAGCAGTATTTCTACTCCTCCCTGGATGAGATGCTAATCCAGCATTAAATTCACTGGTACCCATTTACATGCCTAGGTGGGGAGAGGCACTGTGAGAGTAAAGTGTCTTGCCAAAGAACGCAACACAATGTCCCCGGCCAGGACTCCAATCTGGACCGCTCAATCCAGAGACGAGCGCACTAACCATGAGGCCACCAGGCCTCTACATATCTAGGTTTGAAGGGTTTGAGAAACATCGGTCAAACCTCATGTGCTGCCCTCTGAGCTTCCAGTGGATCTTCTGGAGTATCATCAAGTGGGTACTGGTTTGTAATTCGATCTTTAAAGAAATCGAAGACCTATACACAAGAAAAAATGGAAACATACATCAAATGTAAACCTCTTTGAAGGAATAAAAAATGAAGCCGAGGTTGTTGCCTGGGGGGGTTGGAGGTTGACTTGTGGAAATTTAGGGAAGGGGCCAGGGTGGGGAGGCAGCCCCTTTCTCTCTCTTGAGATTTTTCATGAGACAGTAATATGGTCTAATATCAATCAAATTTTTGGTATAAAGCATTCAGCGAAGTGATCAGGTCATGACTGAGGAAGAATACTATTTATGGTGAAACTGAACAAAATCAACAAAATTCAAAATTTTATTTTAACAAAACAAGATACACTGTTAGTACAAATCATGAAAATGCAAGCTGCAAATGAAACCAAATGAAAATGAAAGAGGCATTTGGGGGAGGGGGTTGAATTTGGCATGGGCTTGGGGCATTGTAATAAAACTAAAAATTGGTATTATTACAAATTTGCAGTGTATATTGGTGGCTAGTTGGGAGAAAATGATCATATTCTTGTATTGGGCGGAGTCGTGACAACAGACCAATTTTGATACATTAAAATTCAGCCTAACACAATAGACTTCAGCCTGACGCTCTGGTGAATAAACACCACAAACTCTGTAGTTATTCCCCAGAGCCTTGTACTGAGGTCTACTGTTTTAAGCTGAATTTTAGTATATCGAAATTGGTATATTCTTTTGATAATTTAAAATATAAACGGTCACCCTAGTACTCACAAAGAACATTGCAATGATGTTTTCTGTTTGCCAGCAAGTTACCTGAATATTTCAACTTTTAACCCATAAATTCCTTTCAGAAACTATAAAAATTCATTCAGTGNCTTGAGATTTTTCATGAGACAGTAATATGGTCTAATATCAATCAAATTTTTGGTATAAAGCATTCAGCGAAGTGATCAGGTCATGACTGAGGAAGAATACTATTTATGGTGAAACTGAACTAAATAAACAAAATTCAAAATTTTATTTTAACAAAACAAAATACACTGTTAGTACAAATCATGAAAATGCAAGCTGCAAATGAAATCAAATGAAAATGAAAGAGGCATTTGGGGGAGGGGGTTGAATTTGGCATGGCCTTGGGGCATTGTAATAAAACCTAAATTGTTATTATTACAAATTTACAGTGTATATTGGTGGCTAGTTGGGAGAAAATGATCATATTCTCGTATTGGCTGGAGTTGTGACAATAGACCAATTTTGATACATTAAAATTCAGCCTAACACAATAGACTTCAGCATGACGCTCTGGTGAATAAACCCCACAAACTCTGTAGTTATTTCCCAGAGCCTCATACTGAGGTCTATTGTTTTAAGCTGAATTTTAGTATATCAAAATTGGTATATTCTTTTGATAATTTAAAACATAAACGGTCATCCTAGTACTCACAAAGAATATTGCAATGATGTTTTCTGTTTGCCGGCAAGTTACCTGAATATTTCAACTTTTAACCCATAAATTCCTTTCAGAAACTATAGAAATTCATTCAGTGCATCTAAGTGAAGTTTCCCAAAGTATTGGGCAAAGAAAAAGCCAAGTATTTAGACAAATTTATCTTTNCCCCCCCCCCCCCCCCCCCCCCCCCCACCCACTCTGCAAGAGAATACATACAGGAAAGTGTTCTTTCAGCATTTCTTTAAGTTTCTTCATCTTTTCTGTGCACAGAGAGTTGTCATCAACAAATGCATCTTTGATTTCATCAGGTAAGGTGTCGGTGAACTCATCATCTCTGATTAAGAACAAAGCTGCAATGGCGAGAATAACAAGTTACACCAGATTCTGCTCAAAGTTTGAGTAAGAAGGCAGGGTTGTGAAAAAATTATTTACTAAAAATCTAGTCATAGCACGGTAGCATTTTGAATACCATTTGAAACACCTCAGTTTAATTCAGTTCTCTAAGTGACCCGACAATTAAATTATTAAGCATTCTCAAGAAAGATAATTATGGCAATTGAAGAGTGTGTTATTTTAAAACTATGGATGACTTCAAATTCATTTTTCTCCTGCAGGGTCAGCTTGAGAGCTTAAGTCAGATTGTTAAGTTCTACTTAACTGTACTTAATATGTTGCTATGCTATGAGGTTTTTTTGGGAACTTTATTTTTCCCTTGATTGCTCGAACGTTTAGCGGGAACAATCTTTATAATTTATTGACTTGAATACATACCAGGTGTACACACGAAACACGTCAGTTTAATGCATATTAACTGAGTAAATATCATTATGCCAGATTTGCAATCTTTAACAAAAAAATCATGTGCCGTGAGAAAAAACAACCTTGGAACTTACATAAAATATACCTTGCAACTTGCAAGCAAGTTAACAAATTTATTAATTTGACATTATTGAACACAATATTCTCATATCCTTATGTGCACAGGATCAACTTCTCACCATTAGGGTTGCATTTCCGAAATGCACCATGAACAATTTCCATCTCTGTAAGAGACAGGCCATAAACCCAGCCATATTGTACAGCTAAATTGTACGTCAAGTCACCAAATGTTGGTATCCAGCCTGCTCGTGCACTGTTTATTAGAAAAGAAAACACTTTCTTTATTTACATGTACATGTACCACTAATTAGTAATCTTTTCCGTGGCATGCAGTTGCAATGAAAACTTACAATGTAACATGAATTCTATCGTAAGTTGTTTTTAAAGTTAACTTAATAAATCACTCCTCTGAGGTCTATATTGCTGGAATCAAAAACTCAACAGTCTTAGACTGACAAATCAGATATTTTAATCCATGGCTATCACCAAATCTCAGCTTTATGCAGACCAGTAAGTGAATGTTCACAGCCGTCAGAGGGCATGTAATGCCATAACTAACATGCATACATTGTAACAATTGATACAGCCATCAGACTCACCAGTTAAGATTGAGAAAGTATGGCACAACGTTATCCTCATAGCAACGATCCAGCTCACCAAGACAGATCTTTATAGTCTGCTCAGTTGAGGAATCTTTAGGAACTCCCTAATAAAAAAGTCAAAAAACTTTACTTCCAAAGGACAACACAGAAATCTCCACAAGCCCTACAAACTGAAGATAGGACACAGTGACTGCAAATTAAGCTAGGGACAAAGTGCAAGACAGATTATTAAATATGAGGCCTTGTGCATCCCACGACATAATAAGGACAGATGGTCATTGATGATGAGATGATTAATAAACTTTACTTTGCACAGAATATTGTAGGTGGTAAAGTGTTGTTTCACTTCACTTGAGTAAAAAACTTGAGATGAGACACATACTTAGAACCTACTTATTTAAACCTCCTCATAATTGTACCTTTTTGGTATACCTTACCAGTGTATCAGGCAAGTTTGGTAAAGCCAAGATTTAGACATCACTATATTCTTGACCAAATTTAGGTATGGTAAATATTTACGGGTCCATACCATTTTGGTACCCTTCTGTGGCATACCGTACGTATCAGCCTTGTTTAGTCTCACCATGGGTATTTTGGTATTCACGGGTGGTCTCATCAAAATACCAAACTTGCCTGATATATAGAATAATGTCTGTATGAATACAATGTTGCAAGCTACTTAAAACACTGTCTCATATAACAGGATCTCAACTGCAATGAACAAGTTATGTACATCTAAGTTTATGCTCACCCATCTTAAGTCGCACTCCACAAGGTGAAGTTTCCTTTGTTCACACCAAAGACGTAAATCAGGAAAAACCTAGTACATGTTAATGAAAGGTATTGATAAAGTTGCTAATATATAGATTTACCCAAGCCTAAAAGCAGAGCTCCTGATTGTGATAACTGACGATAAAGGAAAAGAGAATTATTTTTTCTTGGATCAGAAACTCAAAAAATGATCAGTTGTGAGCATGCAATTGTTCAGCATGTGGTTTTAATATTTTTTCAGTTAAATTTTAACAAACTATACCCAACAAGCCTAACCAAGATTGTAGAAATTACATACGCAATATATCAGGGGCTTTCCAAGAGACAATTGTACAAGGAATATGTCAGAAGAAAAGTCAACAACGTGCCAGGGGTTAATTTGTGCCGAAATTTTGCCTTTGCAA